ACCTTGCTGTTATGATGCTGGAGGAGGAGATTGGTTCCCACTGTATGAGAGTGAGCCTTCGATGCTGTTGTGGACATCATGATAGCCACTCGAAAACTCAGTGTGCTCGTGGTTGTCTTCTGGGTGACGATATTGGAGTAGATTATTGACTCCTCTCCAGTTGACAGTTTAGAGGGTCCACTCCCATTCCATCTGCTGATTCCCCACAGATTCCTAGTACTTCAATGAGACACCTTCTCATCTCTTTGGCAATCTGGGTAGTCTTACCAACCAGCTTCAAACATGGTGCGGACATTCCATGTCCCCACATTTACTTTCGCTTTCATGGTGTGAGAGAAGACACATGGGCCAATTGGCTTCCCGAAGGCAGGCTTTCACCAACTGGCGTCATTTCGCCTCTCCGATTGCAGAGAGGAATAATTTTGTTATTGTTTTTTACCTTTTGTTTGTGCTTTGAAGTTTGTTTAGTGGTTGAATTGTTTTGCGGGATAGAGTTGTTAGGTAGAATAATGGATTCCACTCTCTGCATCACTGCTTCTGCAATTAATTCAGATATCGGTAATCTATGTCTATACATCTGTTATCAGTCCATAAAGTATATGAGTGTTGGCTTGAACTATGTGGGAAAGAATAAATTTTTAAATTGAGGTTTATCTAATAACTGAAATCACTGATTGGATACTTTGGGTATTATGGCTCAGAATCGAGTTCAGTGGCGTAGATGTTCATCGTAATTGTCATCCCAAACTCTGTTATTGTTTATTCCATCTTGTTCTCTTTTCACGACTTTTTATCCCTTTAGTTTACTTTATTCCTTATTTTTATACCTTTCACCTGGATGCCTTCTACATTATGCAGTAACGCCATGCTTCTTATTGATACTAACTTGCCGAGTCACTTTTTCTGATACAGAGTTTGGAAAACAACAGTAATATAAACTGGAAGACAATAACATATGATCTGGAACATTTGTATGGTAGTTAGACGACTCAGATGAACCGTTAGAGTCTTCATCGACTGGTGCCACATCTTGATCTGGTCTCTTTCAGCCTAATTCAGCTTCCGTTCGTATGGCACGTCAAGGTAGATGGTGTCTCGGGATACAGTACATATCCAAGCCACCTCGGCTGATGAGGGTTGACAGCCTCATAAATCGACTTGTCTATCTTTTCTAGTACCTTTCGCCTGAGTTCAATATTTCTCATACGGTGATTCTTTTAAGCGACAGCAATGGTATGAAGATACTTGTGATTGAAACCCAGTAACCGCTTTCCGCCTTCTGCTTTAAACAGTCATACTTCAGCCGTATAACAAGAGAGAACGGACTAAAGCGCAGCATACTCATTCTTTGATAGATAGTCGGATATGTTTTCAGCCAACCCCTCAGATTAGTCAAATTGTCAAATACTAAACAAGCTTTCTGTATCTCAGCTGAGATTTTGTCAGGAGGCAGTTTATTCGGGCTGATATAATCCCACAAGTAGGTGAAGTGGTCGAAACATTCCATCCTTATCACTCCGTATCATCAAACTAAGAGTAGTTGCAGATCAGCGCTACGTGTAGCCGCCAAACATACTCAGATTTCTACTCAACACATCCAGAAGATAATTATCAAATAAAAACAGTGTGGATTCATATGTTTCACTATAGGCCGTTTTCTATCATCTACTGATATTTTCTCATTGAAAATGTTTAACAAGTAAGACTACATTTACTTCAGACTTCATGCCTACAGATCACGTCTTGATTTGATCATGCTTAGTTTCAATTTCAGTCTAATCTTATTGTAGCTGACATGAGATATAGTGGGTGGTAATTTATCGTTTATCACAATCAAAACAGCAGTTGAGGACTTATACGCTGTTTTACCTGACTCACCCAATACTTCATGCTTAATCATGGCATTGGTAACGGTGTGGTTACATCATACACAATTGCTGTTTAGACAAACAAATGATAAAAGGCAGTATTTCATTATGTGGCACACTTAGCTATTCTTAAGAATCGTAATGTTTGATCATCTTCACAATTAATATATACTGATTGGCAGAAGCCATTGAAACCTTTTGAATTCATGCCAAAGTTTCACTAGCCATCAGCCAATCAGGATTGATTCAACTTTTAAAATAATGAAATAAGCAACGTACTGAACTGGTTATCTTCCTATTTTTAGATGGTATTCCAGCGATAATGATTTGTAAAACAAAATATTGTATTTAATCATTCAATAGTCCATCCTAGACATGTTTGTAGTGTTATTGTTTTTATCCGTTGGCGGCTGCTTGAACCTTGGGCTACCAACTCTATCCATCGAACATTTTCTTTCCTTCCAATTTGTTTGAATCATTTAAATATGTCCTTTGAACACATCATGTACTCTGGCACAGTTTTAAACTGTTTCTAACTCTCCGTTTATCAAGTCAACAACAAAGTAGAGAGGAACAGTGTCACGTTATATGGAAATAGACTTTGTGGTGCAAAAGAATACATGATATTTCTATGCATCAGATGCTTAGCCTGAGTTGTAGATATTTCTACCATATGAATGAACCATTAGCATGAAGATTAGGCTTGAATTTCTGTTGATTCTTCATTCTGAACCTTATACTCATCCAGACAGAACCAGCTGGCTATTTCATATTATTGCCTTGAATACTGTTGGTATTATTAACATCATGCAGATGCAATAACCATTTCATTTGAAAGTATTGTTCTGGGAGTGAATTAGTTGAAAAATTACATACTGAGAGTTGCATAATGTCATACAAATTGTTTGGAATAAAGCCACTATTACTATTATTATTCTAGCTGACTTGAAAATTTCTAAGATAGAGAACGTTTCTTTAACAAATCAAAATCAACTCAACTCAGTTAGTAATGTCAATATATCCGGTAAGCGAATGATTTCTCTGGACATAGTCTTGCTCTTTATCAATGTCCCACTCACAGAAACTATCTGTTTTCTATGTGAGTTCATTGAAGATAATAATTTTCAAGTGGGTATCCAAAATCACTGTTTAAAGAAATTGCTTCTAAGATGTACTTTCAATGTGCAGTTCAAATTAAACAATGATCTATATAGACAAAAGGATGGGATTGCTATGGGGTCGCCACTTGAACCGTTGCTGGCTGACTGCCTTATGGCGAAGCTAGAGAATGGTGTGCTGCATTCACCAATTGATAGTTTCTACCTATATAAAAGATATATGGATGACACATTCATCAGAATGGATCAAAATACAGATATTGAGACTGTAGTTAAAAAGTTCAATGATTGTCACCCATCGGTCAGTTTCACATCAGAATTTGAAGAGAACTCGGAATTCCATTTTCTCGACCTTTGATTGAGATGGAGACTAGATGGTTTTCTTCAGCAATCAATTTATAGGAAGCCTACTTGGAACGGACAATATTTGAGTTTCCACAGCTGGAGCCTCTCAGCAGAAAGAGGAATCTAATCCATTCTTTATCTTCAAGAATCAAGAGATCAGCACGAGTGATACTATTGATGAAGAATTAGATAAACTACGGAAGATCCTCATGCAAAATGGATATCCATCCAGATTTATCGATAAGAACTTGAAAGTAAATCAGAATATGGAGTGAGTACTCACCGTCTAAGAAGACCTTGTTTATGAACGCTGTTTTCAAAGGTGATACGGCAGCAGAGATCTGAAGAATCGACTGTCCAAATCACTGAACAAGCCATTCTTCTCTGCAAAACTGCAGATCAGCTTCTCTAGTCAACAACTCATTCCGGAGTGCGTTAAGGACAAGTTGCCACTTCGGGCCACCTCGATGTGTGTCTACAAATTTACTTGCTCCTGTGGAGCTAGCTATATGGGCGGCACAAAGCGCACGCTTTCCAAAGGTATTTTGGAGCACTATCTTGCATGTTTGTCAAGGGGAGAATGTAAATCAATTAACAGTTCAATTGTTGAACATTTGGTCAACTCTGGACACATACAACTCGACCAGAATCCTCCTTCAGTGTCATTTATCGTGTCAGATGGAATGGTTCAAAAGGAGTACGCCTTTGGCAGTTGTGGACAGCGGAAGCACTGGCAATTCATCAATTCAAGTCTGATCTGTGTGCAAAGAAGTATGTTCATTCTCTCATCTTACCATGGTCTTAACACTTTCACATTCTTTCTTCGATTTCATTATAATTAATTAGTTTATTATGATCACCTTCATTATGAACCTTGTCTCATTCTCCACCTTCTTTACACCCATCTATCAGATGGACACTCAATATTTGCTTTTCTTACCTATCAACAATTTTCACCTTGTCAAACTCCTTGCCTTCCTCAATATTTCTACTGTCTTAGTCTACTACAACTACTCTGCATTGTTGATTCCGGTCATTTTTTAGCACTAGATTAATGATGTAATTATACCCTAATGTTTTATAATAGACTGTTATATGTTTATGATACATATGTAAATATGATTGTCTAGCTATAGAAAATGATATTGTGGAGAAAGAAAATTTTCATCGCTGAATTATCTCTTCTCAAAATCAAGAATTTTAACCTTTTTGTGTATGTATATTACTGAAAATGAAGAAGAAAGTTATCGTGTTTGACGAATATTTAATAAAGGCTCCATAGACTATTGGTCAACTTAAATTTTGATAGTTACATACGACAGCTATACTGGTAACACTTGGAAGTAAGTAACCGATAAAGGTCATTTATGTTTTCTTAGACTTTCAGAATCTATTCACAATCTGAAATACATTTTGAGATAATTTTAATTTAATTTCGAATAATCAGTTTAAATACCTATTAGAACTGACAAAAGTTGGAAATATGGGTAGCTCAGGGGTAACGTGCTGGAGGGGGGGGGGGTAATGGGTGCGCCCTGTTGAGGAGTCCCATGTTGGAACGAAACAGACGTTCATTGTTCCCAGTTCTCCAATATTCCTCCATCTGATATCAGTCCATGATGAATATCGACATTTATTTTCTTTTCTTTTGTTCTATTTTCCTTTATAGTTAATCGATCATTATCATTTTCGTCAAGATGGCCTATTGTGTAAACTTCAGAAACCAGTTTCAGCGCCTGGTTATAAACGTTCACGTTCAGGTAAGTAAAGTTAGTTCAGTCGATTATATACATGATTGGTAGCTTGCCGTTCGTACTCATAGTTATAGAGTTATTATCAGTCAGTATTTGATGATTGGTTCACTCGAAAAGCCTATTCTTACAGAGGGTCAGATGTAATGGAAATAGCTTTACTCCAAAAAATCACTTGATTACACTGCTGGTTGATATAGTTTCAAAGAAAGGAATCTGAGTTTTCTGATTGTCACAGACACGAGTGACAACACACACACACACACACATGAAACACTTACCAATCAGAGTTGCCTGTCTATAGACTCATTATTAACTGACAACGAACGCAGTACAGTGTAAAACTGTATCGATGAGCATAGTGATGGTATTACAAACTTGATCAATAAACTTCATTCAGCACTCTCGATAAACATCGGTAACCATTTGGTGGTTAATTTTTCTGTTTCCGTTAAAATTACCGTTTCGTTTTGAGTAAGTCAGGGTATTTCCCCTCAAAAAGAGCTTCATTGTCTGACTTAGTGCGATATGCTGATCTATGTGCTTGCGAAATCTTGACCAACAGCCTTCATATTCCTTCCCGACAGTTTCTCGACCTCTAGGAAGTGGGAAAGATGGTAAGATAACAGAAGATACACCACAGGATATATATATATATATATATATATATATATATATATATATATATATATATATATATATATAGGTTTCGAATCATAGACCTCTGCTACCCTGTTTTTTTTCGATAGCCATCTATATCTGATTACTTACAGACCTCTGCATCGACCTACAGATCTCATAAAGTCTCATTAATCACATTTCGTGTTTACCGCTTAACTTTGATGTTTGTTACCCTACTGTCAGTTTGCTAAACACCAAGAATAATTTTTTCCCAAAGAAGAAATGTTTATACAGTTTACTTGATGGTAGCTGGCATGGGAAATCTAGGACGTAAGTTTCGTGCTTTGGAACTTGTCAGCTGTGGACGTACCTCCACACTAATGAGTGATATTCTTCCCAGTGAGATTCCAACCCAGTATTCATCGCTTCAAACATAAAGTGTTATCTACTATACCACTGAGGTGAAAAATCCAGGTCTTGTTTAATGCGTATCATTTGTTATTCATTGATACTTGTTATTGCGCGCTGCTATACTGGAAGTGGATAAGTAAGAAAAGAAAACAATAAGAATAGTATGATTATAAGGGCAATCCAATAAGGTACATTCGAAACAAAACATTCGTTCCTTTTCAGGAGCAGAAGATAAAAAGAAGCTACAGAATGACTGTCACTGCTCCCGATTCTGAGGCACATCTTATAACATCTCAAGTCACTGAGTTGGGTAATCTCTTGGAGTTGTGATGCACTAACAGCTGCTAACCCGATACAACTATCCTTCATCTCACAGTGCCACATCATACGCTGATCATCCCTCCGCTTCTTCTATATAGTTCCAGGGCTTGCAAACAATGAACAGTATGGAAGCCTTTGGGGCGATTAGACGATTGCTTCTTACCCGATTTCAACTTTCTAGCCTGACAGCACATAAACGACTGTTGATGGGGAACCAGTCAAGTAGCGTAGGTGAGCGCGACACTGACACCAGCGAGGCCGGTTATTGGTGTCATAGGGTCTCCAGATAAGCGTACACAAAACATACTTTCCGAGCTGACACATAAGTAATTAATTCGAACCACTTCACTGGAATCTTGTGTGCGGGTCTCGGAGATGCAGCATACATCAATGAGGAGGTTTCCCATAGTCATAGCTAAACCGGTCTGTTGTCTAATGTGCATCAATGCGTCTATTATGCAACTAAACCACTCATAGCCTGATATTGGAAAAAGTGTAAAATGGATCTCATTTCCTCTGAATTTGAGACCATCCTCTATCGATGATCCAGTGCAGATTGGTAAAACCTACAAATACAGTGATATTTATGCATTCATTGGTCCATGGAAAGAAACCAATTTCATTTTTATCCATCACGATGCACTTTCGATCAATGTTAAGTAATAGAAGGCAATCGGTAGGATGTTTTCGATAATGGATATCCTAGCTTGGTGGCCACATTTCAAAATGACTGATTAGTTTCTTATCAAATGATCAGTCGATTAAGTTCTAATCACCGACCAAATAATTCAATGCTAACCTCTCTCACAGCATCACTGAATGACACAGGGTTGAAATCTAAGAGAGGAAATCAGTTTTTTCAAGGTCAGAGACGGCTTGGCAACAACCAAGAAAACTAGATCGATTGTCTCGAACCACTTGACACTCATTATTGTTTATGGATTAACTAATATTCTATCTACTAATTCAGTTTTTAATACTAAGTTATTACTATTTAATAATAATAATAACAATTTAACCCTTGGGTTCCTAGTGGAACATACGCCTCCACTACCACGTCAAAACTTCACTATATTCTCTCCAGTCTATCCAAACCGGCTCCAACAATGACCAGAAGCCCTCACTTCTTCCTCACACAATCTCCTCCATGTCAACCTCGTCTCACACGCACAACTCGTCGTTTCTCATGTCCATTCCACTCGACGACCTCCCCTGGCCTGCACTGACGCGTGATATCCACTAACAACCTTCTCAATCTATATCCAATCCTATCCATCCACACTTTCTTCTTCTGCATAGTTGATGGGCGATTAGTTCTTGTTTGTTCGGTACGTTATCAGTCACCAGCGAGCCAGCCAGCCAACCAACCAACCACAGTTCCTCCTTGCTTATTCTTATTATTCCGGTCATACATCTCATCGATATTCAGTAACACTATCGAGTGACCGTTGACTGCATCTGTTGATGATGTATGTCTTCAGTTGTTGGTTGGAAATGCTTTTCGTAACACGCTGCCAAGTCTGTCAACCATCACTTGACTTGACTGAATTAGTGTTGAAAATTGGTATTTTGTTCCGGTTTTATGTTGAGTGCAGCACAGTGTGTTGTAGTAGATTTCCACATTGATTGTTTGAGATCAATGCAGGAAGGTCTATTCTGCCGTTTTTCCTATCCTGTGTGGCTTTGACCTCCTCATGTGTGTCGCCACCAGCGCCTGTATTTGAGAGTATGTTGTCTAGGTAGATGGTTAGGTAGGTGAAATAGACAATTTCCTTTAGCTTTCTCCTATTGATGGTGATTGATGATTATTGTTGTTTGTTGGATATCTTCATCAACTCAGTCTTCTCTACGTTCACCTGATGGATTCTCCGAATTCGCTGTCCTGCCTCTTCTGTCAACATGTTACTTTTCGCCTGTAGATCTTGTAGGGAATATGTAAATTCCCACCACCAGTAGAGATCAATTTACATTAGAAAAGAAAATAATCTTCTGACTAAAATATTCATAAAACCTTTTTTCCTTTTTCTCCAAAACTTATCATGTTCAGGAATGATACGTTTCTTGTATTATTTTGTTTTTACTACAATATGAATATGGGAATGTGCTAAAAGAACAAACCAACAAGTGTATGCTTACCTCAATGTCACAACATTCTTATTAACCTTATTTTACAGTTTTGAATAGGATAAATTAATTTGGCTTTTGATTACTTTAATTATGTATAACTTCTAGCTTCCTTATTTTCATCAATATCTTGCCTCTTCTTATAGTTTCCTGTTATGCTTATGGGTTATATAATAAATCGGATTAAAATAAAAGGCGTTAGCAAGGTCAAGCGGACACAATAATATAAAATAATAATAATAATAATATGTAATTTATACCTAGAATGTTGCTTTTTGTTTGTACATACACAGTTCTTACATACTTTATAGTTCAAACAAGTCGTAATTTAACCATTTTTCAGTGGTGCCCAGATAGTACAACTGCTCAGATAAACAATTGTATTTCTCACTATTCTATGAAAAAACTATCTTCTTAGTCAAAATGCTCAAATCTGATTGGTTATTTCAGTTGTTCCTAGGATGGACTTTATTGTCATATGTTGTAGAAATATTTTGGCTTTTCCTGAACAAATTGAAAGTGTATTATTTATATGATAGTGGATTCATCAAGTTTTCAGCATGTATAGTTCACTTATTAATGAAGTTTATATGAAAACAAACAAAATATGACTTAGATAATTTGTTGTAGTCCATTAATGTTTATGGGTAAAACTCTATATAGGTATATCATAGTGAAATTTGTACTTATTGTAACCAGGCTGATGCACAGAAAAAAATATTCATATTAATATAAGAGTTAAACTTGACTACTGTGGTACAATGTAATTTAATTCTAATTAATTTATTAGGTGTATCAAATTATTATTATTACTATTATTATTTGTCCCTTGAGTTCCTAGTGGAACATAGAGCTTCACTAGTACGCCTCCATTCCATTCTCTTCTCTGCGATCTTTTCAACCTGGCTGCACTACTGCCCACAAGCTCTCATTTCCTCCTTGCACAATCTCCTCCATGTCACCCTTGCCTCCCACGCCCAACTCACCGTTTCCCTTTGGGTTCCAATCGAGTGCCTGGCCCGGTGTATGATGTCCCCGAATGGTCTTCCCAGTGCATGCTCAATCCACCTCCACTTCCTTCTCTATATTTGTTGAGTGATAGGATCTTGGTTGGTTCGTTGCCAGTCAGTCAGCCAGCCAGAGTTCCCTGTTGCTTATTCTTATCATTCTGGCCATCTGAGCTTCAGTAACAAGCCACAATAGGTGGCAGTTGTTGATGATGATCTATAGTTTGTTGGAAATCCCTTTCATAAAGTGCCAAATTTCTGAACCATGTAGGAGCACTGACTTGACATTGGTGTTGAAACTTCGGATCTTGTTCACGCTTTATCCTGAGTGTAGATCTTCACACTGTTTTCAGGTTGATGAACGCCTGTCTTGAATTTTTTACACACATAAACCGTAAGTGATGATAAAATACGGAGGAAAAACTATCAAAGTTTTGAAATCACTAGATAATTATCAACCTTATACTGAACTAAAAAGTTTCTCCACTATCATAGATGCACCAGTTAGGCAGTTTATAATTACTAGGCTATCCGAGTTAGTAATATTCTCCTAGAAGCTGTGGCTCATCTGTCTAGAAACTTAACGTTAAACCAATAAGTTATGAGTTGGAATCCAACCTCACTTGGGTGTAATTTTAAAATTCTACTTTAAAATTAGTTTACATACACATATCTTTCATCAGATGATAATCATCACAGCTACATAGTGTAAAGTGCTGATTGAGGTTTATTGATTGGGTTTATAATGTCATCGGTTTGTATGTATCTATATTTTGTCAATTATGATCAGGACCAGTGTTTAACCACGAATAGACTTATAATTCTCTAGTTGTTATTCATCGTAGACTGACATCAGTTGGAGGAACAAAGGAAATCTGGGAGCACTGGACAGCTGTTTCGTCCTAGGTCGCGGGTTCGATCCCTGCTGGTGGGGTCGTGGGTGCGCACTGCTGAGGAGTCCCATACTAGGTGGACGAAACAGCTGTCCAGTGCTCCCAGGTTTCCTTTGTTCTTCCAACTGATGTCAGTCTTCAATGAATAACAACTTGAAATATTTCCAAATCTCCACAACCCCCTCAGAATTTAATTATAATTCTCTCTTACTTGTTTGAACCCAACTCACTTTGTTGGTTCTGTAGTTAGATATTTCATCTCTAGGTTATTCCATAGAAAGGAGGATACTTTTCATCAAAGCACCTGTGTGTTAAACGTATCTATGATATTCTGTTGTAATTGTTTAGTATGCTCCGCTTAATATTAGTTTATTCATTTAAAAAAATGTTAGTTTTTCTTAATTTATCTTTTTTTCTCTTTTGGTTTTCTTACAATTATCAAGGTTCAGGTACTGCACCCAAAATTGTAACTGATGACTTCAAAGTAAGTTGATTTATCTTATTTAGATTTGCGCGCTACTTTTGGGATGAATCTAGACAAAAAAATTCCTTGAAGTATACTTTGTATGTCTACCGATATCTTTAACAAGTTTCTTTTGCTATTCAACTTTACTACACTATCGAAATGTTAACATCTAACTGATAGTTATCAGTTTGAAGATATTTATCACCATTTTTATTTACAAAGTTAGAAAAATCGATTTTCAGTTAAATAATTAAGAAGAAAATTATGTTCCACCTCTTCTGCTATCGGACCATAGGTCATGTTCTGTAGTGCTACCATGTCAGTAACTCAGAAGTTAGGTGTAGAGTCTTAGGGAGGAGAGAAAAGTTAGTTGATGTGATTGTGAACCTTTCTCGACTGAGATGATTGGGGAATATGTTACAAATGCTTAGTCATTGTCTGCCTCGTAGCATAATTTTAACTGAAGTAGGTTCAGATTAGAAGAAAGCTCAGGTCAGCCGAATAAAAGCATGGTATGATTGCATGAAGTTTTTAATTGTTGGTTTAAGTTATAGGGGGAAATGTAGACTATACGTTTAGGGTCTACGTGACAAGGGAAATCATTGGTTGGAGACTCTTTCACCTTATTTGTTATTTGATGTACTGATATGATGTGTAGCGATGTGGACCGTTATGCAGTAATGCCTGGTCCTATGTTGATAATGATGATGATGACTGCTAAAATAATAATTTTATTATTCAGTGGGGAATTGGGAATTGATATCAGAATGGTTTCACTATGGATTGACACTAGTATGATAGAACTATTGAAAACAAGGAAACAATGTACAGTTTTTTAAAATTCTAGCTTGAGAATTCATAAAAGTGTACATCCCTCATCCCTAAATCAGACATGAGATTGTCAGGTTCGTGATGAGTAGGCTATTATTCATCCATACAGTTAGGATCCATTAGGCTGAGTTCTTTTAATGAAGTCATTGGTTGAATTATAACATACTCAAGACTAGATATAACAATTCTAGGATCAATCCCTCATCAAGTGTTGTAATGAACACTTCTGATAAGTTCAAAACAATAATCGGATTGCTGCTCAGTGTTTCAAGCTTTTCAATATTTCAAGTTGTTATTCATCGTAGACTGACATCAGTTGGAGGAACAAAGGAAACCTGGGAGCACTGGAACCGGCGCTATATCATGAGCTGACAGAAGTTGGAAATATGGAGCATTGGATTCTGACCCAGTGGCTAGCTCAATGGTCACGCGCTGGCCGCGGAACCTGAAGGTCGCGGGTTCGGTCCCCGCTGGTCGAGTCGTGGGTGCGCACTGCTGAGGAGTCCCATACTAGGTGGACGAAACAGTTGTCCAGTGCTCCCAGGTTTCCTTTGTTCCTCCAACTGATGTCAGTCTTCGATGAATAACAACTTGAAATATTTCCAAATCTTCACAACTCCCTCAAAAATTTAATTTTCAATATTTCTCCGATGGATTTTAATTCAGTTTCCAAAATCATCTACATTCAATTTATCTAGCGGTTCATAAATAAAATGCGTTTCTTGTTCAACTGTTTACCCCAGTGAAATAATAATAATAATAATAATGATAATAATAATAGTAACAATAATGATACTCACTTTATTCAAACAATTTTTGGTACATTTTGAAATTCTCAGCAACAACAATACATTTATAAATACTCCTCTACAACATTTCAAATGGTGTTATGATGAAAATTTAAGTAATGTATAGAATATTAATAACGAGAACATTTTACATTGTTAATTAAATTATTGAAATGAGATTGTTAACTGTTACAAAGTTGATATAGTGAGTTCTGTTCTAACACTTATCATCGTACAGTCTGATTAAGTTCTTCTTGTCCTCCCTCCCTCAAAAGATACAAGGAGAAAGCTGTCAATAAAGTGAATGCTCGTTGTCATTCAAAATGACCGTTTCTAGTTGCCGGCCAAACTTTGAATGCCTATCAACTACAGTATTAATCAGTTGAGCCAGAAACACACTAACCACCCTACTCGCTGATGGATTTCAAAGCCCTACACAACGCAACATAGTCCTTTTTTAGAAGATCAGGAAAGATCAATGGGCAACAATATTGAAGAATAGCTAAAATGTAGGAAATAATAAATTGTAAAAGAAGAGGTTGAGTTATACTAGATAGTACCAGATAATACGTTAAATGAAAGATTTTCTTAGAAGTTAACAAGGTACGAGACGACCAACAGAGATTAGAAGTAAATCTTATTCCAAGATAGTTAACACTGAATTTACTTTCTACAGAAATTCCATCAATACGACAGGCATCATGGAACTTAATCAGCTCATACAAGTCTTGTTTATGCCTGAGGGTACAACTAACAGTTTGACATTTAGAAGGGTTTAGCTTGAGACTATCTGAGATAGACGATTGGTCGATTACAGACAAGAATCAATTTAGTTCACAGTGATGTAAGTGAGAGCTAAGTGGAATAGACACTGTCAAGTCATCAGCATACTAAATGAAATTAATTTCAACAGAATAGTGTAAATCATGGAAAAAGAACAAGAAGGGAAACGGAGAAAGTAGTACACCTTGAGGCACACTGGCTTCAGTAAGTAATGAAGTGGAGCACTTCGCTTTATAAACTGTATACTGTTTCTTTTCAGGAAAACAGGAATAGAGCCAGTTTGTAATCCATAGCTCAGTATAAGCAATGGCAAACATATTTAACAAGAGTGGTCTAGGAGCAGAGTCAAAGGCTAATGAGTAATCCATGAAGGCACATCGAACATACTCAGAAGCTTTTTGTAGACTCGAAACAATGTAATGATGCAAGACATCGGTAGGACCTAAAGTACTTCTCCTGTATTTGTAAGGGAATTGTTTTAGATCTCTGAAAGCCCCTTCAATGAATGTTCATGCATAAGAAGGTGTCATTTCTCCATTGTCTGTTATATTCGAATACTTATGCGCGTATATCTTCCTCTTTCAATTCATATTCGTTGTTCATTCAAGTTCAGAATTCATTGTATGATAGAATGTATTTTAATTTTCTTGGTTCCCTTCCTCTCTCTTCCTAATTCTCTCAGTTAACTAGTTATAATCCATTTGTTTTCAATGAGAAAGAGATTTTCATAATTTTTTTAATAACCTTTAGTCAATATTGATTCTATCCTACAGAAATTTTAGATGTCCAAAGGATTTTAACACTTTTCTGTATAATCTTTAAGTGATCATAATATTTGGAATAAATTTTATTATTACAGATTGTATTATATTGATCTAGTTATCATGATTGAAATTGAAAAGTAGGCAACCTTGAGTAACAGTAGCTCTTAATGTAATGCTAGTTGATTGGAGGCAATCGGAAGGAAGCCATAAACCTAGATTTCGTGCTTGTTAGTACTCATCAGCAAAGCGTATCTGCAACCTCGATATTACGTGCCTCCAACCAACTAACATCTACCAATATGCATCGCGATACTGAGCTACATTGTAAATATGGTCGACAGGATTCGGTTTTGCACTGAGGAGTAGACAACATGAAATTAGTTGCACTCCCGTGACTAGTCACTACACTTAACGCTATGCATCTGTCAATCCACTGACTGACCTATTAGATTTAACTGACAGCTATGTCTGACTTTCACTTCGGCCACTGTGCAATTTGTTTGCATATTGTGGTAATGAAGGCTATGCATGCATATACAATTGTACTATATGTCTGAATGAAAATCAAACTGTATTAATTATTATTATTGTTATTTGTCCCTCGGGTTCCTACTGCAACATACGCCTTCAGTAGTACGTCACCATTTCACTCTCTTCTCTCCAGTCTATTCAACCTGGCTCCACCAACGCCGTGAAGCCCTCACTTCTTCCTCGCACAATCTCCTCCATGTCAACCTCGTCTCACACGCACAACTCGTCGTTTCTCATGTCCATTCCACTCGACGGCATCATCTGGCCTGCACTGACGCGTGATATCCACAAACAACCTTCTCAATCTATGTCCAATCCTATCCATCCACACTTTCTTCTTCTGCATAGTTGATGGGCGATTAGTTCTTGTTTGTTCGCTTCGTTATCAGTCAGTCAGTCAGTCACCCAGCCAGCCAGTCAGCCAACCAACCACAGTTCCTCCTTGCTTATTCTTATTATTCCGGTCATACATCTCATCGATATTCAGTGTCACTATCGAGTGACTGTTGACTGCATCTGTTGATGATGTGTGTCTTCAGTTGTTTGTTGGAAATGCTTTTCGTAACACGCTGCCAAGTCTGTCAACCATCACTTGACTTGACTGAATTAGTGTTGAAAATTGGTATTTTGTTCCGGTTTTATGTTGAGTGCAGCACAGTGTGTTGTAGTAGATTTCCACACTGATTATTCCAGATTGATGCAGGAAGGTCTATTCTGCCGTTTTTCCTATCCTGTGTGGCTTTGACCTCCTCATGTGTGTCGCCACCAGCGCCTGTAGTTGAGAGTATGTTGTCTAGGTAGATGGTTAGGTAGGTGAAATAGACAATTTCCTTTAGCTTTCTCTCACTGATGGTGATTGTTGATTGTTGTTGTTTGTTTGATATCTTCATCACGTCTGTCCTCTCTACATCCACCTGAAGGACTCCTGTCTTCGTTGTTCTGTCTGTTCTGCCAACGTTTTGGTTTTCACCTGTAGATCTTCGAGTGTTTCCGACAAGACATTAGGCGTAAGTGGTCTGCACTATTCAGGTGGAAATGGAAAGGTTGTTACTAAGTGGATAACTAATAGTCTACTTTTTCGATTCCTATAACAAGGAATACTTTGACCAATTCTTCAGTGAAGATTGTTTCAGTCAATCAAGTGACACCTGTGTTGACCTCAGTGTGTTTCATAACAAACCTACTTCATATTAAGAATGATTATAGTTAGAGACAAGCACAGTGTGTTGTAGTAGATTTCCACACTGATTATTTCATATTAATGCAGGAAGGTCTATTCTGCCGTTTTTCCTATCCTGTGTGGCTTTGACCTCCTCATGTGTGTCGCCACCACCGCCTGTAGTTGAAACTATTCTGCCTATGTAATTAGGTGAAATAGACAATTTCCTTTAGCTTTCTCTCACTGATGGTGATTGTTGATTGTTGTTGTTTGTTTGATATCTTCATCACGTCTGTCCTCTCTACATCCACCTGAAGGAACTCCTGTCTTCGTTGTTCTGTCTGTTCTGCCAACGTTTTGGTTTTCACCTGTAGATCTTCGAGTGTTTGCGACAAGATATTAGGCATAAGTGGTCTGCATTATTCAGGGGGAAATGGAAGGGTTGTTACTAAGTCAATAACTAATAGTCTACTTTTTCGATTCCTATAACAAGGAATACTTTGACCAATTCTTCGGTGAAGATTGTTTCAGTCAATCAAGTGACACCTGTGTGGACCTCAGTGTGTTTCATAACAAACCTACTTCATATTAGGAATGAATATAGTTAGAGACACGCACAATTCTCATGGATATTTCATATCTTTTTAAAGTTGTTTATATTTTCACACAGCCACTTAATGTTTATCCAGCTTATTGATGGTTAAAAAATAACGTTTCCGACCTATTACATTCTCTTATAAAAAAATGAGCTTGTAAACTTTTAAATGACTTTAAAAGGTCCCCTTAACAGTCGCTGAAATAACCAATCTGGTTTCTGCAGCTACTAAGATGGCTTTTAAAGTCACCTCAAAATTCCAGTATAATGCACTCACTTTCTGATCAGTTGATTCAATTCTACATGTTTTAAAAACAAGTCACACGTCGTTACTTTTCAATGCCTTTTAATATCAATGTTTTTACTCATTATGATAGCCATTTAAGCGTTTATGGAGAGCTGTCACGTGAATTGACAATAATTAGTGTTGTCCATTATCACCATTCCTATTCAGCCTAATCATAGATATACTAACGGATATAACGTTAGGTGGGTTTGACTTCACAGGGATTGACCAACTCTGTGGAGATGATCTAGTTGACTTGGAGTACGCGAATTATATCATTTCGCTGAGTGAAAAAATGCAGGATCTTTTGAATGAGTTGAATAGAAATCTGAGTATATTTAGCTGACATATATTTTGCATTTCTCAAATGTAAGATGATGCTCTACGACTGATGTGCTTCAAGTACTGCCAGTTTATTGATAAGAAGTAAGGTAGTGGAATGCACAGGCCAATTCACTCATTTAGGGAGCTGTATCAGTAGGAACAAACTAGTTGTTGACTAAATCTCAGCTATGATACAGAACGTTTCATTTGGCATTTGCCAGCTTGCGTCACCTGTGGCACCTACTGGAGAGATATCTCACTATGTACCAAAGGACGATTATACTGTGCTGAAGTCCATTGTGTCTTGTTATATGGCTATGAGACATGACTGTTGAAAGTAGATGACATGAAACGATTACAGAGTTTTGATCACAGATGTCTTCATAGCGCTTCTGGCATTTGGTGTATTCACCGTGTGAGCAATGTCTGGGTTAGGTAAAGAGTATCAGGCAAGACAGGTAAGTCGATTGATGAGGTTGTGAATCTTCATCCGCTGAAGTGGCTTGGGCATGTATTGCGTGTGCTGAGTTACCGTCTACGTAGGTCTGCGATGCTACAGTAAACTGGGTTAGATTGGAAGAGACTTCATAGTTGCCAGACCAAGATGTGGCGCCAGTCGATGAAGTCTGTGATTGTTGGTCTGCCTGACTGGGTTGGGCCCTCGAGATGAAAGGAATCGATGGCTGAAGACTCATGGTTACGTGACTAAAAATCGGTGGCTGTGGCTCAGATTTTTACACTCCTTGAAATCTTCTAAAGCTTGAATATTTTCACTAACCATTGTCTTCAGAATGTTTATTTTCTTACAAAACTTTGTCTACTTTAATATTGGTCTTTTTCCATTCACCTGTTCTTTGTTTATTGTTGTGAAGTGTGACAACTTGTATCGAGGCATTTGCCAGTCAGTCAATCAATCTTTCTAATGTTTAGTGAAACCTCCGTATTTTACACCAGAAATATTTCAGTGCACCTGTGATACCGAGTAAAACTCCAGTGGAAGAGAAATTGAGTTGTTGTAGACAGTTGAAGTAGACGTCGATCGATGTCATTGAAAGGAAGAAAGAATCAATGGAATGTAAGTCTTATCAGTAGTATTCGGGATGAGATTTACTTGAAACAATAGAGAAAATTACTTTACGAAAAACTACTACACATACATTATGTTCACTATAGCCATCTGAGATAGCCTCAGTTTGACAGACATGTAATAATAATAATAACGTTAGTTAGATGGAGGTATTCCACAGGAAGTCCTACTTAACTTAGCTTTCTTGCCTTTTGGTACTCGTCAGCAACGCGTTCCAGCAAACTCACCCGACTGAATCCATGTTACCTAGTGTTACAGTGACAGACGTTACCATTGAGCCATTCATGTGATGGATAAAGGTGGAATGAAAATCTGGAACATGTCAGGATTCGAAACATCCACCTCCAGGCATGTGATTGTTGTTTCTAATGTATTCAGTCCTTGATTGAAAAAGTATCCAAAGTAGTTCAATCCAACCATAAATATTTATTTCTTTAAAGGGCAGTTCATTAGAAAGTGAACAAGTTTACTGTAGAAGATTTTTTGATTTGCGTTCACCATCAGCCAACTTCCCCCCAAAAGCGAACCCAACTACAACTCTAAGTATAGTCAGTTAATTAGGAGTATGCGAACTGATAGACAGACGTAGAAATTGACATAAGTGGTAAGTTATTGTTAACAGACGTTGACTGAAGAACATAGTTGAATATATACAAGTTTAGAAATTCATTCAATAAAATAAGCAGCTTAAACAATCAATTATCAAGTTCTCTTTCTTTTTCTAACTTTTTTTAAAAAAAAAATGGCAACAACAGATTTCTTTGAATTCAGATAATAAGAATCAACAAATTAAACCGAAAAATCCCTTATCAACCAATATAAATAATAACATATGGAATGAAAGTCATTCACTACCATCGTTAAGCACATTTCCAATTCCTGGGATTAACCTATCCAGTAATAGTAAAACTTCATCGACTAATACACAATCTCTTATCAATAGAAATGTAAACACTACAGATAATGTCACAGTAATAACAATAACAAGTGCAACAACTTTGACATCGGTATCAACAACAATCACTACTTCTGCTATCACTACTACTACTACTACTACTGCTCAACTTGCCAATAGTAGTAGTACAATTAGGCAAGATTTAATCTCATTCAATGATTGGCCAAATGTTACAAGGCTTTTATCCAATCAAGTGAGTGAATTGTGTCATTTATTTTTGATTGGATAAAATAAATGTTGGAAGAGAAAAAAGTGACAAAGCTTATTTTCATGATTATACTAATTTCTACTATTCAACTTTAAAGATAACATTGCCATCTGTTACGCTTTCTTCTCTACATGTGTCTGTGTGTGTGTGTGAATGTATATTTTGTTTGCCTTTTATATTGAGAAAATATAAAAATAAGACAATGAGGACAAGATTAACTAATCGATTGATATATATATTGGGAACCTGACATGGTTAACCAGTTCACTAGTTACTAACCCATCATAAGCCCAGATAAACAGGGAAGGCTAGAAATACGGCTAGCAACCCTACCCCACAAAACAAATCCAACCACTAAACAAACTTCAAAGCACAAACAAAATATAAAAAATAAAAACAAAATTATTCCTCTCTGCAATCGGAGAGGCGAAATGACTGATGTATCTTCTCTCCCTCGACGAAAGCGAAAGTAAATGTGAGGACATGGAATATCCTCACCATGTTTGAAGCTGGTTGGTAAGACTACCCAGATTGCCAAAGAGATGAGAAGGTGTCGCATTGAAGTACTAGGAATCTGCGGGGAGTCAGCAGATGGAATGGGAGTGGACTGTCCAAACTGTCAACTGGAGAGGAGTCAGTAGTCTACTCCGGTCACTCAGACGACAAATAATGATAATAATAAATATATTTTGGGGTAGAGAAAAATCTAGGTCATGACGGGATTCGAACCAGCAGCCTTCAGATAACAGGCTTGGTACTTTATCAACTGAGATACAATGCTTATCTATTGGTCAGATTTTAATTATCCTTCAACATAGATTGAAAATTTAAGGGTAAAACTTGTACACACTGTGGTCGATTGTAATTCCATTTTAGTCATTTACTAGATAACGTTTCGGACACAATTTATTGTCCATATTCAGATCAGGAAACTCCACAACTTCGAGACAGTTTTTATCTGATCCTAATTTTCTCTTCTTCTGTGTGATGATAAGGGTAGTAGAATTTTCCATATATCTAGGACAGGTGTACAATCATTCCTGTCACTGAATGTATTCGGTGTTGATTCGATAACCAGAGACTCAGCTTTCAATCTCTCCCTCTACCCAACTAAGTTAGTTTTCATACTGTCACCCTATCCCACCCTAATATGTGATTATGTCATCGCATGCAGACCTATAGCCGAGCTTTTCTCCAGATCTTATCTTATCTTATCTTATTACGATCTACTAATCTTCATTTAGCTACGTTTTGTGCTCTGTTATTCTAATCGACCCTGGCCAGTCGACTGCTTCGACCTATGTACTTAACCTCGCAATCATTGCAAGTGATCTGGTAAACGAGATTATTTTGTTGAATTGCATCGATAGGATCTTTTAACCTACAAAGCTTGTTTCTAAGCTAGTTTGTTGGTTTAAATGCCACCTTATTCTCAGCCTTATTGAAAATTCTTCGTTATCCAGTCAATAACACTGTATCTTCACTATTATTAATATTATTAGTCCCTTGGGTTCCTAGTGGAACATAGGGCTTCAGTAGCACGCCTCCAGTGAACTCTGTTCTCTGAGATCTTTTGAACCTGGTCCCACGACAGCCCAGAAGCTCTCATTTCCTCCTCGCACGACCTCCTCCATGTCACCCTTGGACGTCCAACTCGTCGCTTCCCGTGGGGATTCCACTCGAGGGCCTGGCGCGTGATGTCCTCAGTCGGCCTTCTCAGTGCATGGCCAATCCATCTCCACTTCTTCCTGCATATTTGTTGCGTGATAGGTTCTTGGTTGGTTCGTTCCCAGAGCTCCTTGTTGCTTATTCTTCCTGGCCATCTGATCTTCAGTAGCGAGCGTAAGCAGTATTTGATGAATGTGTGTAGTTTATTGGAAATGCCTGTCGTGACACGCCAAGTCTCCCAACCATACAGGAGCACTGACTTGACTGGGTTGGTGTTGAAAATCCGTATCTTGTTCCACATGCTGAGTGCAGAAGATCTCCACACTGGTTTCAGGCTAATGAACGCCTGTCTTGCTTTTCCGATTCTGACTTTGACGTCCTCGTCCGTCCCGCCTGTAGTTGAAACAATGCTTCCTAGATAAGTGAAGGAGGTTACTTCCTTTAAGTTTCTCCCGTTCATGGTGATTGGAGTTTGTTGTTGTTGTTGATGGTGGTGGTGCGGTATCTTCATCACTTCTGTCTTCTCTATATTCACCTGAAGTCCCGTCTTCGCTGCCTCTTCTATCAACTTGTTAGTTTTTGCCTGCAGATCTTCAAGTTTATGTGACATTAGGCACAAGTCATCGTTGGCGAAATCCAAGTCTTCTAGGTTCTTTTCCGCAGTCCAGCCAGCGTATCCCCCTCTTCTCGCTGCCTACTGTTTGCTGCATGATCCAGTCCACCACAATCAGGAATATCATGGGGATAGTAGGCAACCTTGTTTCACTCCTGTCACCTATGTTTACTTCAAAAGCATCACTGAGCTTCCCATTGTGAATTACTTGGCATGTGGCATCTTCATATAGTTGTTGAATGAGGCGGATAAAGGTTTGCGGTACTCCGTAGTAGTTAAGCATTTTCCAAATTACTTCTCGGTCGACACTGTCAAAGGCCTTCTCAAAGTCGATGAAGTGAGGTATAGAGCTGATTGCCATTCTCTGCTCTGTTCTATGATGATGCGAAGCGTTGCAATTTGGTCTGCACATGATTTGTACTTCCTGAATCCAGCTAGCCTGTTCCGGTCGTAGTTTTGAATCCAGTGCATCTTTAAGCCTCTCCAGGATGATGCGGCCTAATATTTTGCTTGCATTGGGTGGACAGGAGAGTGATTCCGCGCCAGTTCTTGCAAGCACTGAGGTCTCCTTTCTTCGGCAGTTTGACAAGGTAACCCTTCTTCCAATCAATGTCCAGGTACCTTCTCTTCCTTCCACACCTTCTGCAATAGTGGTGTGAGCATGTCCGCTGTTGCTCTGCATCTGTTCTCAGTGCCTCTGGCGGTATTCCATCTGGTCTTGCTGCTTTCCCACATTTCAGTAGCTTTATGGCGTTCAGGACTTCCATTTTCGTGGGGGATTTATGTTCACTTGTAATTCAGCGGCTGCAGGTGGTATTTCTGGACGAAGTGCAGGTGGTGGTCGATTCAAGAGCTTTTTGAAGTGGTCGGCCCATAGTTTCCTCTGTTTCTCTTCTTTCGTAATTAAATTTCCTTCTTCATCTTTTATTGGTTTCATCTGTGTTGGTCTCTTCCCAGACAGTGAGCAACCTGGTTATTTGATACAATGTCGTCAGGTCTCTGCCTCTTCTACCTGCAGCCTGTTCTGCTTCACTTGCCAGTGTTTCGTAGAAGTGTCTTTTGTCTTTCCGCGCACTCTTCACTCTTCTTTGTCGAGTGTATTGTTTTATACATTGTGCTCAGTTCCTCTTCTCGTTGAGCATCGTTGCACTGGTTTATCTTCTGTTTCACCATCCTCCTCTCCTCTATCAGCTTCCAGGTATCCATCAAGATCCATTCCTTGTCTTCTTTCTTCTTCCTTCCTAATACCGTTGTGCAGGTTTCTTTCCACATAGCTTTCAAAGACTTCCAGTGTTCTTCCACACAGGTTTCTTCAGGGATGTTTCTCGATATCTCCCATTTTGTCTTGATGGCTGACTGAAGTGAAGATCTCCTTTGTAGTTTCATCCTTCAGTT